AATCACTCGTACGCACAACTTAAGAACAAATCTGTGCATACGAACGGTTTTTGCATGAGGCCCATGTGGATTAAAACAACTCCTATCTAAAAATGTCCAACAGTTTTAGCAAACATCTTATCAAGCTTCACTTTACTTCCAACTTTCCTTTATTCAAATAGTTTATATAAAATTGTGTGGTCATTTAGAAGCACATAGTGACAGCAGCAGCTAGTTGAAACATTTCTGTTGCAACCTGAGATACTTAGTGCAGGAACATCGTATTTCTGCTGGAAAAATTATGGAAATATAAAAACTTATAAGAAAGCCTTTTATTAAGATTTTTTTAGATGAGTTGGCAGCACTTCCCTTGGTCTTTGTGCTGTTTGGACTAATAAGCCAATTTTTCTATTATTCCAGCCCTTATTATTGCCTTCGTTCTACTCAAGGCTACATGATCTATTTCAGTATAACTTAGGTGCTGCCTCAATGTGGGCAAGATCGTCATGGCGTGGCTGCAATATTATTTTCTAGCCAAAGCAAACACATAACTTTCCTCTGTCAGTTGGGACCTGTAATTTGAGTTGATTTAATCTAACTCCTTACAAATTCTATTGTCAAACAACAAATCATTGAAATGAAATCTTAAATTCATCCACAGCACCATGTAAATAACTAAAATAAATGTTGTAGTTGCAAGGCTTTAAAGAGTTTTTTTAAGAGAGTTAGTTTGAATCTTGTGAAGGAAACTCTGACTTTGCACTCTGACCAAGCCATGGCCTGACATCAAATTTTCAGCTTGACTTGGCTCGCTTAGAAAGGTCCTAAGAAATGACTTAAGAGTGAGCAGGAACACTCAGTGAGAAAATGCTGATGCCATGCTGAATTGACGTGAGTAATGTGGAGTTGAGCCCAGTTTGCTTGTCAGTTCAGGCAGAATTACGTTTTGCATCACACTGAGGTTGTCCAAAGATCTATCTACAACAGGTAAGATATTACTTGTTCATAACCTTACCTTATCATTAAACCTCATGTTAAAGAAAAWAAAAGACATTCTGAGCTATTCATTTAAAGATAAAACCATCACTTTAACAGCTTGTTAATACATTTCGAGAAGTAATGCAGTTTAGGAAGAAACAAAAACATTTAAGATMAGTTAAGTAATTTTAAATCCAATTTTACAAATGCTGTTTTTGAATTAGGCAAACAAAAACAAATCAATTGTACTCCAAATTGTATTTTTTATACATTTTTTGACATTCTAAAGGGGCCTGAAACTTAGCCAAAGTGCTCAAAATATCTGCAATTTTAAAATGCTGACAAATGAACCAAGAACCTTAATTTAATAATGGTGAATAGAATAGAAGAATGACTGGCAAGAACACATTGACATTTATATTTGAAGATTTAGCTTTACATCTTTTATTGCTGTACTTTTCTTGGAACCCAATTTTAATTGGAGAAGCCTGACTTGAAAAAATATAGATAGAACAGAAAAGGAAAAAAAAATCTATATATTCAGCAAAGATTTTGTTCCTTCAGAGTGAGGGAATTGATAAWGCCTGAAGGTGAATGAAACACTGACAGTTTTATCTTCAGTATGATATTTTAAAACAGCTTTTTCCAATATTCTAACATGAGTTTGAATCAAAGTTTGATGTAAAACTTATCATTTCAGAACATTGGAAACTTTTTTTTCTCCACACCCTTCGAAGCAGCTGTTTAAATGAAGGACACAGAGTCAGATGGTTGGAGTAAAACTATGACTTATTTTCACTAATTATTTCCATCCTCCTGCCTGTTGAAGGGTTAATGCCTGCAGGCTCCAACCAATCTGTCAAAGTGTGTACGGAAAGTGCTCATCTGTCAGATACGTCTGCTAATTCTCCACAGTGGGACCAAATGGGCAATAAGAGGTGTAATTCTATTGCACTTAATCAAAGTCAAACTAAGCAAAAAAAAAATTTAATTACATACTATTCTTTAATGTGTTATCCTGCAAATTCATCAAATGTCAAGTTTCACTTGTAAATGGGACAAATGCCCCACAAAACCTTAAATTAGGTATGCTATGCCACATACAGTTTATATGATCAATGGAACATCATGCAGCCTTCTACCATCAATCTGTGGGCAAATCAATTAATCCTGTCCTATAGTGGGGATATGGCCAACTTTAAAAAGCTTTAGGGGTTATTAAACTCCCAGTATGGGCATTTTAAAATGAAAAGACTAGCATTTCTTGCAATTACTAAAGCATGACACAATGTAGGGCTTCCTGCGAAAATAAGGCAAGTGAAAGTTAAAGAACTCACCAAAAAAAGCAGAACAAATTTTAAACTAATTTCTGCACTTTTTTCCTTGTTCTTCTCAAATCAGCAGCTTGATGGAGGACAAGAAAATAAATTAAAGCAAAATAAAAAAATGAGTCTTAAAATACNGAACAAAGTTCAAAGTAGATTTGTGCCTGACACTCATCTCTTTGCCGTGAACGAAACAACAAAAATGAGGAAATTTGTTCTCTTCATCCTAAGCTTTCCCCTGGTGTGCTCCGTGTCATCGTCATTACGATAAAATCTCTGAAGCAATTAAACCATAAATAAATTAAAAAAAATCATAAACTTTCCAAAATTCTACACACTGAAATGCAGACACTAAAGAGTGTGCTAGAGGAGTCTTGTAAATTTACCACGAACAAAAAGAAATGCCATGTCTGGGTTAAACGTGCACACAGCTGTCAGAATATCTGCTGACTCCAAACACACACACCCCGACTGTTACCTCCTGAAGGGACAAAGGTGACATTAAACAAATATTAATTTATTCTTTCATACAGATCTAATTCAGAGAGGCTACAGATATTTATAGTGGTGTCTCCTAAGAGCTTTTTTTCTCTCACTTTAACTCACAGAACAGCTCTGTAGTCAGCCCAGGTTTTAGATGATGGGCTACTTCACATTCAGGACTGTAGTCCTGTCCGTGGCTTGGCCTGAATCTCATCCAGGAGATGAGATCAGACAGCAATGGGCAGATTGGGACTGTAAAAGAAAGAGAGAGAGAGAGAGAGAAAGAGCGTACAAACCAAGTCTATGGTACAGTCCGTCCCAGATA